CATACAACACCAAACATTTGAACGGTTAACTCCAAACAAGCTAGTGCCTGTGTAATCTCATTATCCACTTTTATCAAGCAGCTTCTCGTATTCAGTTAATTAACTCCTGCTACATTTGTATCTCCTTGTGATGTGTGTATCGTACAAGCGTGGTAGGAATGTAGCCCTTCCTCGGTATTTATTTGGTGCTTGGGAAAGTGTTAGTTATTGTGCTCTGGAAGACAATTATGTTCAATACTTGTTCCTCTGTGCCTGGAACCCGAACATCGATTGTCGATTGTCATCAATATAGAAAATTTATATCCGAGAGGACTGGAATTTTGCGTATAGTTCGAATATGAAATAAAAAGTGCGCGATTCCATTGTAAAAAATGTAAGTTTCTACCTCCTAAGCTAACGCAGGCAGCAAACGACGTAAGTGTGGTTATGTAGTGTTAGTAGTAATTAGCATACATGTAGAAGTAACGTGTAAATTAATAAGATGCCCATGCTAGCAAGCAGCTGAAGATAATGCGATGCTATGGCATACGGATGCGGAGCTGACAAATTCTTAGAGATGACTTCAAGTTTTAAAGGATAACTCCCGAAAACTAGTAATACAAAAAAGGGGGTTTTTTAGTTTTAGATTTTTATTCCTCCAGCAGCCGGGAAACAAAAAAAAATAGAATGTTTATATCAAATATGCCTAGAATTTTACGAATATCTCGATAATGCAATAAAAAGAACGGCATTCCATTTAAAAAATGGTAAGTTTGGTTTGTCACTTGAATTTGAGACACCCCGTATCAATTGTTACTATCTTAAAATAAACTATAATAATATAATATAATATCTACAACTTATGTATTGATCATTTTTCTCTAATTTTGAAATTCGATGTTAAAACGGGGGGCCAAATTGTAATCAATAACCCTGTACATAGGTAAAAAGTAACATCACATACATGTAAAAGATGTTCAAAACGTTCACGACTTCAGGTGATCACGGCTGAAAACATTCCGAATGAATCCCATAGATGGACGCTGCTTTGCAACATTTGAAAACTTTTAAAATAGGTGAGAAATAAGAGGTTATGTTATTTGTTTACCTTTATCATTGTATTTTATTCGTTATTAGATTTTGCTTTTCAGTTCGTTAGTTTTATTCAATTATTATACTTTCAAGCTGTATCAGATCTAAATATAACAATAGATGGATCTATGCAGCAATATCCTGTATAAGTTAGCAGAGTTACAACACGTCTTAGAATGTTCAATATGTAACAAAAAATGTAACAGTCCCGTACGAATTAAGACCTGTGGGCACTATTTCTGCACTAAATGCTTACAAGCTGCGAAAACACCCAGTACCTGTCCCAAATGTGGAGAATTATACGCACCCACTGAGTTAGATTTCAACAATTTGGCTAAAGAATGCGATCACGAACTCCTTGAGTTACAAGAGCTGTTGCAAAATGCACAACAAGTAGCCAAAAACAGAGACAACTCTTCGAAGATCAATTTAGTGCAAGAGGAGGATACTTCCCTGGGCATTTCTTCAGAAGCAAATACAATTTTGTATATGGGAAAACAATATCGTGTACAGTTTTTAAAATCACAATGTAAGAAGAATGCTAAAGGTGAAACTCCTTTGCATTTAGCTTGCAGAAGAAATAAGCTGAATGAAATTCGATCACTCATTAATTCCCCAGTGGATATAAATGCCAAAGACTATGCAGGATGGGCCCCACTGGTCAGTATACTTGCATTAGTAATCAATTTCGAATGTTTTGTTTCAACTTTCAGCATGAAGCTATTGAGAGTAAAGCAACAGAAATTGTACAATACCTTCTGGAAAACAATTGTCTTCTCGATATTCCGGGACCAGATTATCTAACCCCTTTGCATAAAGCTGTTATTCTGAACAACGCTGATATAGTTAGCATTCTATTAAAGCATGGAGCCGACGTTCATGGGTTTGATTATCGTGGTTTAAAACCTGAAGACTACTGTGAGAATAGCAAAAGTTTCAACGAAATGTTTAAGTCGCCCGAAGAAATCTACCCCAAGGTTTTCAATGTGTTTTTGCCGGGGAAAGTCTCCTTGTATTGCCACAGCATTGATGAAGCTATTAAAGCGAAGTTAGAGGGATGCAAACACATTAATGTAAGTGTTAAAATCAAATTCCGAGCTCCGCCAATGATTATTATACTTAAGAATTTTTTGTACCTACTCACCAAGCTGCCAATGTAGGAAACATTTCTTTTGGGCCGTTTAAAGTGGTTAAAAATCCATTCTGGACCTTTCAAAATGTTCTTTAATACTATTAGATGAGCAGTATTAAAATTTGATTAAATACCAAGAAAGCACAAATCATTCAAAAACGAAACAAAATAATCTATACTTATATGCTGCTATCTGATACGTACGTTAAACGGATCTAATTAAACAGTACGTAATTTAATGTTTTCAGTTTCCTTTAAAATTTTTCTTTGTTTTTTAAATTTCAATATTATAAATTAACGAAAAATATACATATTTCCATTTTACATCGGACCTTTGGAAAATGTAAAATGGAAAAAAATTGTTTAACATCGTTTAACAAGTCCTAGAATGCGTTTCCGTCTATATTAAGAATAAATAAAAGTATTGATTTGCAGGATTTTGGACGATTTTTTCTATCATTTTCCGATATCGAAGTTCGTTGCTAACATACATATGTATAAAGTAATACTTAATAACCTTTCTATAAGGAGATCAACGTCGCATATGGATTTATCTTTTTCCAGGTAGTAAACAAGGTGGATACTAAAAAAGTCCTTACACATTTTGTGATTAAAAAGTCTCATAAGCTGTCCTTGAAAATCATGCAAGCCATGCTGGAAGGTTTACAATTTTTGAATCAGGAAGACGTTGATGACTACATTAAAGGACAATATTTTATAAATATCCCACAACATACATTTTTCACCAATAAGGAGTTGAATGATGGTGTTCAAAAAGCTATGATGAGTGCCATTCTGAAATTGCCCAAATTGTTTGATGGCGTAAATTTTCACATTGAGGACCACAACAAGCGTGTAAATGTGTATAATCTTGAGGTAACACTAATTATTCAGAAAATTATATGGATAATAAAACGAATCAATGTCAAACGATGGAAAAAATGGTTTTCAATGACAATTATTATCAATTGAAAATAAGTAAATTTCAAGAAGTATATGCATGAATCAAATTAATTAATTCTGTAAAGTACATATATGCTGATTTTTATATATGTCTACAGGTTGCTCCTAGATAAATTTCTCAGAAAAGTGTACATTTCTCATAAAAAAAAAACGGTTTTCAACTATTTTCTCTGCTTGCTTTCTGACTTCCTTTGAACAAGACGACACCTACTTTGGCACCCTACTAGAATTATTTCAACGTCTAGCACGGTGTATATTTTAAGGTATTCTACGTTTTAAACATTCCACATACAGCTTTTAAAATCACGTCTCTAAACCATTAAAACGTATTTGCATTTTAAAAAGTCCTATCTGTTGAAAATTTTAATGGACCTACATGATTCTAGATAGAAAAATTAAATCAACATATGCTACTTATATTGACGTATTTATTGCATTGTAGCTAGATAAAGAACATATTATCAGACTGATCAAAGCTGGTGGAGGAAATGTATTGCACAGGCCACCTACCGCTAGTACTTGTGAAGTAGTGCACCCCTTTTTCTCAATATTAGGATCTAGTACTTTCCAGTGCTGCAATTTCATTATATATGAAGAAAAACATGCTCCAGATTTGATGTACAACATGATGGAATTAAAACATAGGAGTTCTAAATGGTTGATTGACTGTGTTATCAATTATCGAATTGAAAATTAAAACATTTCTAAATTAAAAGTTCTTATTTCATACAGTAATTCTAAGAAACAATGTATTACATGGTTCTTTTCCTTATTGCATTGCAATCAACATTAACGATTCATAAACGTAGGATAACTATTTTAGGACAAACAACACAACAAACACCATTGCCCGACATCTATAACAGGAAGACGAAGTCTAAGATTATTCGGGAATTAATTGGATATACAGAAATGTGTAATAAAAAAAATGTAAAACGAGGAATTCTAGGGAGCACTATCGCGGATGTCTAGCCAATAAAATAAATCACATTTCTACTATAATTTATCAGCAGCCAGCAATGATGTTTTAATAAATTTAAATACATTTTGACTTTCCTTTCTACACATCTCTAATGCTATTTTATACTGTTCAATGCTAAAACAGCCTTCAGTATGCGACGCAATTATCCCTCCAGTTGTATTATTGAAAACAAACACCAACATAGCTTTAACAGTGTCCTCATTAATAGAGGGAATGCAACTGAGTTCCCCATTATTTGACAGGAAACAAGATACTGCACCAAAAACAAACTTCATGTCTATTCCCGAATCAAGACATGCTAATGATACTGCGTTTATGGCACACGATATTAACTGAAACAAATAAAACATGTGAAAAGCAACAATAAGTTTAAAGCAAATGTAAGGAGTTTCTGTTGCTTAATTCGAAAGATACTGGGTTTATTACTAAGACATGTTAAAGCTTCAAGATGCATTTCAACGTTACTTAAACAATATATTATAGTAACCGCGACGAAAACTCCCGCTACTAACATGCAGATATTTGTTGATAAACTTCAACGTTGCAGCGTATTTGTAGTTAATTTTTAAATTGTGATCTGGGAAACTTAAAATGTATAATAATACCGACCATGCATTTTCTTTGTTTTCCATGGGGAGACGCAAAATCGGTAAAATCATCGATCTAATAGATGATATTGGCACAAAAATCAAATAATCTTTTTCCGTTTTTACCGCAAGTAATTACGATTATCTTGAAAAACCGACCAGAAGTTTACAAAAAATTATTTGAAAAATTCGCCGCCTTCATCGCTCGGGAGATTTTTAAAGTTCCTTAAAATACCAGTTTAAACCAAGTTTCTATTAAGCTACATTTTCTTACTATTTTATATTTCTATTATTTTATTATCATATTATCATTTATTTGGAAAACTCTTGGAAACTAGGGTTTCTTCACTTTTAGGTCAATTTTTCTAAACAACACTGTCTCTAAACAGAAAAACCGCATTTTTCCTAACGTTTTACTACAGTAAAATTATACATTATTATATAATCATACAGTATTTTACATACTTAAATACATAACATAAATTTTACATACTGTATGATGGCAAACTAAATATTTAATGCAAAAAAGCTAAGAGATCGATTTTACAAAAAAATCGTCCACTTTGACGCTGGGAAAATCTAGATTACTTTTTTTAGTTTGAACAAAGTAATAAAACGTTGATGACCTTTTCTTAGATGTAAAAATTCCAGTTTCGAGTCTCCTAAAGCTTTAATAAATGACTTAACTTAAAACTCATTAACCGATAAGTTATAACTCGTTAACTCAGAGAGCGGTTACTACTCAATAGCGCAACTCAACCCAGGCCTACTTTATTTCCTATTCAAAACCACTCTGATATTAGTAAACAAACAAAAAAATATATTATATATGTGTATATTTGCACTCTTGCAGGAAATTAGAAACCCCAATTTTTCTTCATTTAAGTAAATTTTTATACCTTATAATTCGGAAATTTCAAACACATACTTATAGACCGAATTAAGATCGCATTGTGCCGACTTATATGGAAAATATAGCAACTCTTACCTGTCCGCGGTTTTGCATTTCTTGTACATTCACTAACACGGCGGTTCTCGGGTATAAAGAGATCGCAACTGCAATTTCACAGATATTTCTAATGACCGATTCCCGTAATCTATCCTGTACACCTTAAAACATTGATATAAAAATTACTGTTTTTTGCTGGCTAGCAAGATTTACCTGGCACTCCAGCTTTAGGTCGATAATAGCAATCCACAGATGCCTTATCGATTACTATTTTATTAAAGGTGGC